ATTAACATTGTAAAATGATAATTATTTAATTATATATGTTATAACTAATTGTTATTATTTAATTATTTAATTATTTATCTAGATGACCAAGTTTGAAATTAACTTTTTCAATTTTTCAATTTTACATGTGAAAATGTAGATTATACATAGAGGTTGCCAAATCATCCATATGGCACTGGTTTTTTTTACATGTAATTCTTTGAATTTCAAAAATATAAATTCATGGCATGTTAACATGCTAGTTGGGTACTTCTGTTGATGGAAGGACCAAGTTAGCAGTGAAAAAATAAAGTTTAAGGATAAATTTGATAATTTTATAGTTGGAATTATCATTGACATGGATTATGTTGGTAAATCTCACTCTAATTACCATATTACCCATATTGCTAATTATTAGTTTCTATCTGAAAATTTTAGCAACATGGTTTTTGTTGATGAAATTCACTTTCAGCAACAAAAACCATGTTGCTGAAAAATGAAGATCACTGTTAAGTATTAGCAACATAGGTGTTGTCGGTGAAAATCCACCCATAAATTGCCGGTCAAACAACGGGGGCATGGGCAATCAGAAAATTTTAGCAACATGGTGCTTATTGCTGAAATTCACTTTCAGCAACAAGAACCATGTTGCTGAAAGTGAAGAACACTTTTTGGGGGAGTGAGTACTATTTAAGTATCAGCAACATGGGTTTCGTCGGTGAAAATTTGTATTACCGACATGCAATTCCATGTTGCTAATTCTTAGTTGCTGAAAAAGAAGATTTTAGTAGTGAAAATAAAATAATAATTCTTTAATCAAAAGATTATAAATATAAAATTAATATAAAAGTTTGTATGTTTAATCTACATAAATAAAAATTTTTAATTTAATAATTAATTTTTAAAAATATTAATTAAAAAATAAATTCTTACATAAATTTTTTTAAAAAAAATTTAGTAAGACAATATGCACTACACAAACCCTTATATATATATATATACATATGCATATAGACTGTGGAGTGTGGAGTAAAAGGCCAAAGGAAACCTTAGCGTATATCGAAACAAGGGGTCCCTAGTCAATGAACTACGTATACTAATTAACGATGTATCAGATTATCATATTAATAAAATTGCATATTTCATTGTATTGACATGCATGCATGTTAAAACGACAGACCTCTCCTAACAAAAACCATGATCACGTAATTAGCTAGTACTTTTCATTGAGGTTCCAAAAAAAAAAAAAAACATGAGTACTGTAGATTATGAAAACTTAATTCTAAGAATTTTACGAACTTCACATGATTACATCCCAATACAAAAAATGGAACCATTTATATATCATTTTTGGTCAAGAACTATTTTTTTTATCTCTAGTAATTTTTTTGACTTGGATGTTAATTGGAGTATTTTTTAGTTAATTTGCACCCATATTAACAAGCAGTTAATTAGTTGGTTTTTCATAAGCTAGGACCTTATAATATAATTCAAAAGGGAAATTAAGCACAATAATTATAGACTACCATAAGAGATTAGTATAAAGTCAATAGTTGATTTGAATTTTTGCAAAATCAACCGTATATTTGTACGTGCCATTAGCGAAGAAATCTCGACATTGAGATAGTCCAAACAGGGACGGAGCCAACGAAGGACAAGGGGGGGAGCCCCCCCAAAATTTTTGAAAAACATTTAATATGGTACTTTAACTTTTATTTGTTAAAAATTTTGTTTTCTAATATGAATTTTAAGGATCATTTCAAATCTTGAGAAAATATTTAGAATTTAAATAAAAAATTTTCAAAAAATAACAATATAATTCAGGTAAAATGAATTTATGTCAATTAATTAATTAAGAATTAGAGTTCTTAAATAACTTTTCATCTATTAAGCCGAAAATACTTTAATTATCTATTTAAATAACTTTAAATTTATAGTTTTCTTTCTTAATATTTTATGTAACAATTTAAAGTTCTTTCCTTTTGGCATCGAAGTATATTTTGACTTTTCATAATTGAATTTATAATCTTTTTTTTTGTTAAATCAATCTAAGTTAGAATTCGTTTTCTAAAGAAATATTTTAGCATTTCTTTATAATATTAGTGTCTATCAATATGACCCCCAAAAAATTAGAAGAAAAACACCCTAAAATTATATTATTTCAATAAAATCAAAATATGCTCATTCTTACTCTAAAAATATGTTGTTTTTATCTTTTTTAATGCAAGTTTATTAAAACAATTTATTTTTGTGGTATTTTTCCTTATAATTTGTTAAAGATTCAACTAACAAACACATTTCTCTTTTTTTTTATTCATTCTTCAATTGATCATTACATAATATATTACTATGATATTTCAGTTTTTATTATAATTAAAAAATACATTTATTCCTAATTTTTACTAAAAATATATCAATAAAAAAGATCACAAATAAATCTTTTTGTAAAGGAGAAGATTTAAAGAAAACAATTTTATGTCATAAAAGATATTTCTGAAAACTCGATCAACTTTTCAATAATAAATTTCGCCTCCCCTAATTGACTTCGTCCCTGAGTCGAAGGACAGCAGTTGTCTTGCATAGAGGGGTGGGCAAATATTGGTTTTGGTTTTAACCAAAACCGAAATTTGATTAATCAAAATTTTTTGTTGGAGTTTTTAAGACTAAAATTAATAACGAAATATATATAAATCTTTGGTTCAGTAATCCAAATTTTAGGTTATTATAAATTTGAATAATGATTAATACACCATTTAATTTAACACATTTACTAA